AAAACCATATGAAAGATCAACAAAGCGAAAAGTTGTTTCTTTAAAATAATAAATAACCTTGATAGACTGCTATCTAGACTAATAAAGAAAAAAAGAGAGAAGATTCAAATAAATACAATCAGAAACAACAAAAGGGACATTACCACCAACCCCACAGAAATACAAAAACAAACAAACAAAACCAGAGACCACTACCAATACCTCTATGCACACGAACAAGAAAACCCAGAAGAAATGGATAAATTCCTGGAAACATACAACCTCCCAAGATTGAATCAGGAAGAAAGTGAAACCCTAAACAGACCAATAACAAGTTCTGAAGTTGAATCAGCAATAAAAAACTTACCAACCAAAAAAAGCCCTGGACCAGATGGATTCACAGCTGAATTCTACCAGATGCATAAATAAGAGTTGATATGAATCCTACTGAAGCTATTCCAAAAAATCAAGGAGGAGGGACTCCTTGCTAAATCATTTTATGAGGCCAGCATCATTCCAATAACAAAACCTGGCAGAGACACAATCAAAAAAGAAAGCTTCAGGGTAATATCCCTAATGAATGTAGATACAAAAGTCCCTAACAAAAATATTAACAAACTGAATCCAGCAGCACATGAAAAAGCTAGTCCACCATGATCAATAGACTTTATTCCTGGGATGCAAAGTTGGTTCAACATATGCAAATCAATAAATGTGATTCATCAAATAAATAGAACTAAAAACAGAAGCCACATGATCATCTCAACAGATGCAGAAAAGGCTTTCAATAAGATTCAACATCCAAAACCATCAATAGACTAGGCATCAGTGGAGCACAGCTCAAATTAATATAAGCCATCTATGACAAACTCACAGCCATCATACTGAACAGGTATATAAAAGCTGGAAACATTCCCCTTGAGAACTGGAACAAGACAAGGATGCCTACTGTCACCACTCCTATTGAACATAGTTCTGAAAGTCCTAGCCAGAGCAAGCAGGCAAGAAAAAGCAATAGAATGTATCCAAATAGGAAGAGAGGAAGTCAAGCTATCTCTCTTCACAGACAATTTGATTCTATATGTAGAAAACCCCACTGTCTCTGCCCAAAAGCTCCTAGATCTGATAAACAACTTCAGCAAAGTTTTAGGATACAAAAACCAATGTACAAAACTCAGTAGCATTTCTATACACCAATAATGTCCAAGCTGAGGGCCAAATCAAGAAAGCAATCCCATTCACAATAGCCACAAAAAGAATAAAATACCTAGGAATACAGCTAACCAGGGAAGTGAAAGATCTCAATAACGAGAATTACAAAACACTGCTGAAAGAAATTAGAGACAACACAAATGAATGGAAAAACATTCCATGCTCATGGGTAGTAAAAATCAATATTGTTAAAATGGCCATACTGCCCAAAGCAATTTACAGATTTATTGTCATTCATATCAAACTACCAATCTCGTTTTTCACAGAATTAGAAAAAGCTATTCTACATTTCATATGGAATAAAAAATGAGCCCTAATATCCAAAGCCATCCTAAGCAAAAAGAACAAAGCTGGAGGCATTACACTACTCAACTTTAAACTATACTACAAGGCCTCAATAACCAGAACAGCATGGTACTGGTACAAAAACAGACACATAAACCAATGGAATAGAATGAGAACCCAGAAATAAAGCTGCACACCTACAACATTCCAATATTCAGCAAAGTCAACAATAACAAGTAATGGAGAAAATACTCCCTATTCAAAAAATAGCACTAGGATAACCGGCTAGCCATATGCGGAAGATTGAAACTGGACCCTTTCTCTTCACATATATAAAAATCAACTCATGATGAATTAAAACTTAAATGTACAACCTAAAACCAAAAAAATTATAGAAGAAAATCTAGGAAATGCTATTTTTGACATAGGCCTCAGCAAAGATTTCATGATGAAGGCTCCAAAAACAATTGCAACAAAAACAAAAATTCACAAGTGGGACCTAATTAAACTAAAGAGCTTCTGCACAGCAAAGCAACTGTCAACAGAATAAACAGATAACATACAGAATGGGAGAAAATATTTGCAAACTATGCATCTGAAAAAGGTCTATTATCCAGAATCTATAAGGAACTGAAACAAATCAACAAGCCCAAAACAAACAACCATTAAAAAATGGGCAAAGGACATGAAGAGATGCTTCTCAAAAGAAGACATACACATAGCCAATAAGCATATGAAAAATGCTTAACATCACTAATCATTAGAGAAATGCAAGTCAAAATCGCAGTGAGACACCATCTTACACCAGTCAGAATGGCTATTACTGAAAAGTCAAAAATTAACAAATGCTGTCAACGTTCCAGAGAAAAGGCAACCCTGATACACTGCTGGTTGCAATGCAAACTAGTTCAGCCACTGTGGAAATTAGTCTGGAGAGTTCTTGAAGAACTTAAAAAATGGAATTACTGGCCAGGTGTAGGCGCGATGGCTCACGCCTGGAATCCCAGCCCCTTAGGAAGCCGAGGTGGGCAGATCACTTGAGATCAGGAGTTTGAGACCAGCCTGGCCAACGTGGCGAAATCCCGTCTCTACTGAAAATACAAAAATTAGCCAGGTGTGGTGGTGCATGCCTGTAATTCCAGCTACTCGGGAGGCTCAGGCAGGAGAATCACTTGAGTCTGGGAGGCAGAGGTTGCAATGAGCCAAGATCATGCCACTGCACTCCAGCCTGGGTGACAGAATGAGACCTGTCTCAATAAAATAAAATAAAACAGAACTACCACTTGACCCTGCAATCTCATTACTGGGTATATACCCCAAAGAGTGTAAATCATCCTACCATAAAGACACATGCATGGGTATGTTCATTGCAGCACTATTCACAATAGCAAAGACATGGCATCAACCTAGATGTCCATCAACAGTGGACTGGATAAAGAAAATGTGGTACTTATATACCATAGATTACTATGCAGCCATAAAAATGAATGATATTATGTCTTTTGCAGCAGTATGGATGAAGCTATGGGCCATTATCCTAAGCAAATTAATTCAAGAATAGAAAACCAAATACTGCATGTTTTCACTTATAAGTGGGAGGTAAACATTGATTACTCATGGACACAATGAAGGAAACAATATACACTCAGGCTTACCTGAGGGTGGAAGGTGTGTGGAGGGTGAGGATTGAAAAACTACCTGTAAAGTACTGTGCTCACTACTTGGGTGATGAAATAATTTCTATACCAATTATACACATTTTACCCATGGTAATACACATTTTACCCATGTAACACACCTATATATGTACCCCCTGAATCTAAAATAAAAGTTGGAAAAAAATACATAACATTTTCATGTCTTTTTTCCTGTTAATCTGTCTTTTGTCAGTTTATTTTGCAGTGCCCTTTGTACTGAACATAAAAGGGTAAAGGGAACGATTTTTTCTTCCTATAGAGACTTGTTAATAACCCCACATATCTGGGTTTGAGATGTGCAGTTTTCTCAAGTACTCCCTTGAGACGAGCAGTTTTAAAAAACTTCAGAGAAAGCCCAGAGGTGGGAAGGCTTGGAGCAGCTCAAAGTACCTGAAGTGGGATACTGTTGGCAGTAGTCTGATCTGGATGAAATGTGATGTGGGACACTCAAAACATCTGCAGAGACTACAAAGAGGCCACTGATGCAATGCAGAAGTGACAAAGTATTGGACTAGGATTAGTCATTGTTCCAAAACCACTTATTAAGCATCCACCATATAGTAAGCATGTTCTAAACATTGGGAATCAAAAAAAAAAAAAAAAATGTTGCAGTTCCTGCTTTCAATGAACTTTCAGTCTAGTACAGGAAAAATGTTGAAAAACGTTGAAAAATACATATAGTAATTAGAAGGTAGTATGCTCAGTATGATCACAGAGGTAAATTTAAAATATTATCAAAATAAGAGGAAGTACTGAGAAAAAGAGCAAAAAACAAGAGTAAAGAGATTTTAAAGATTAAGCAGTCAAATTAGGTAAATGACTAACTCTCCCCCGTCTTTCATATCTGGTATCCAGATGTGAATTCAAGATTTTGAATGATGGTGACTGATAAATATTTGACCCAAGAGAACTATAAAGTTGGGAAAATAAGTTTGTTTTATGGAGAATGATAATGAATTATTTCTATACCACATGAAGTTGAAAGTACAAATATGTCTGGGAGGTTCCTGAAGATACACGGCTGATGATTGGTTTAAAGGCTAGAGCTAGAAATCACCTGAGAATTCTGTAAGCTTGGAGGAGAGCAAAAACCATGACAGGTCATGCTCAGTAAGTGAAACATTGATGAGAGAATCAAGTTGGTGCTGAGAATGGTGCCTCAGACAGCACCCGTGGCTAAAGATCAAGCAGAGAAACAGATGACAGAGGAATTCAGACAAAAGATTCAGTAGTGTATAAGAAGCTAAGGGAGGAGTTATAAGAGGGGACGGGTTGGCAAGGAAGTCAAAGAAGGTTAGCTAGTCATTCAGTAAACACCAAACAAATTTGATTGTCTTAAACCCAAACGAACAACAGCTTAGTTGTAATATATGGATATTTATAGACAATTCAATTAGTAGCCTTTGACCTCCAAGCAAAATGAAGTTAAATTAAGGCAAGTATAGCAAAAATACGTGACTGCTATCACTAGCATAAGCCAGAGCCTACCAAAAGTTAGGCAGCTCTTGTGAGTCTTAGGGACATATATTTTTTCTGGGTCTAGGCGGGTGTCTGTTCTTTGAATGGTTCCTGTAATCATGTGTGGTAGACACGCTCATGTACCATCCAGATAACTCTTTGGTGAAGAACTTCTTGCACAAGCTGCTGAGAGTACTATTGGTGCAGATAATTTTCAAATATCATTACAAAGATTGCGTTAGTTGCCTGAGGTCATATCCTTCCCAAGCGGATGTATTCCAATAACTAATGGAGATGAGGGTAAAAAGGCCTGGTTATCTTGGCCCATCTTGGATCTTTCCATGAAGTAGCCCATGTGTCATTGCTTACCTCACAGCTTCATTTCTTCTGCCTAGTTCTGCTTTCTTCTCCTCCCTTCCATAAGACACTCCTTAAGAATCGTCCTGTGAACTAAACTCCATCTCAGCATTTGCTTCCCAGGAAAATCACCCTGTGACATCATGGAACCTACATGCAATTAGTTAAGTGACATTATGCAATCAGTTAAGTGTCTTCAAGTAACAGATAACTCCATATCAACTGGGTTAAACAATAAAAAAATTGTAATCTCATATTACCTGAAGTCTTGAGGTGGGATTGTTCCAGGGTTTGTTAACTCAGTGACTGGTTAAAACCGCTAAGTCCCAAAGTCTTTATTGTGCTGTCCTCAGCATGAGGGATTTCTGATTCAGCTTAGCACTCCTCATGGTCACAAGATAGCATCACAGATAGGTGTAAAAATCTCCTGAAAAAGAAAAGGACTGATATTTCCCACATGCACCTTTGTGAAGAGCAAGACACCCTTTCTCAGAAGCTGTTTTGCTAACTTCCCCTTAGTCACTGGACATAACTGGGCCTTACATTTTCCTCCAAACCAATCACTGGAAAGGGAATGAGATGAGAAGAGATTTTCAGAGACCAGTCAGAATTTGCCGCTGAATCTTTTGAGGAATGGATGGAAGTACTGCTGAAAAAAATCAGGCTAACTGCATTGCCACAATGCTACAATGTGTTTATTTAGAATTTTCCTTCTAAGTAACTCATTTTACATAACTTAAAATCTGGGTTAGGTAGCTGGAGGGAACTGTTATTTTTATATAAAGCACCTGGATGGGCCTTCTGTGAATCTTCCTGCAAGGACAATGAAATTAATTTTTTTTTGGCAGATGATGAGATGTGTGTTGCTGTTTCCTAACCATCAGTGAGCTGACTATGTATTGGGTATACATGCATTTTCACCAGAGCTTGAGTTCAGAGGAAAGTGTCAGCACCTGATGTCATGCATCAATTTTAGTGAATTTGGAAGGAAGAGTTAAGAAGCACTTTTTCAAATAAGCCAGTCACAAAAGGACAAATGCTATATGATTTCACTTATATGAGGCATCTAGATGTACTTGTCCATTTTCATGCTGCTGTAAAGAACTACCTGAAGCTGGGTAATTTATAAAAAAAGAAGGTTGACTTACAGTTCTGCAGGACTGGGTGGCCTCAGGAAACTTGCAATCATGGTGGAGGGGGAAGCAAACATGTCCTTCTTCATGTGGCAGCAGGAAGGAGAAGTGCTGAGCAAAGGGGGAAAAGCATCTTATAAAACCATCAGATATTGTGAGAACTCACTCACTATCACAGGAACAGCATGGGGGTAACTGCCCCTGTGATTCAATTTTCTCCCACTCAGTCCCTCCCACAACCCATGAGGATTGTGGGAACTACAATTCAAGATGAGAGTTGGGTGGGGACACAGCCAAATCATATCATTCCACCCCTGGCCCCTCCCAAATCTCATGTGCTCATATTTCAAAAGACAATTATGCTGTTCCAACAGGCCTCCAAAGGCTTAACTCATTCTAGTATTAACCCAAAAGTCTAAGTCTAAAGTCTCATCTGAGACAAGGCAATTCCCTTCCACCTATGAGCCTGTAAAATCAAAAGCAAGTTAGTTACTTCCTAGATACAATGGGGGTACAGCCATTGCATAAATATGCCCATTCCAAATGGGAGAAATTGGCCAGAACAAAGGGGCTACAGGCCCCATGCAAGTCTGAAATCCAACAGGGCAGTCATTTCATTAAAACTTAAAGTTCCGAAATGATCTCCTTTGACTCCATGCCTCACATCCAGGTCACACTGATGCAAGAGGTGGGCTCCCATGGTCTTGGGCAGCTCTGTCCCTGTGAGTTTGCAGAGTACAGCCCCCCTCCTAGCTGCTTTCATGGCTGGTGTTGAGTGTCTGTGACTTTTCCAGGTGCACAGTGCAAGCTGTCAGTGGATTTACCATTCTGGGGTCTGGAGGATGGTGGCCCTCTTCTCACAGCTCCACTAGGCAGTGCCCCTGTGGGGACTTTGTGTGGGGGTTCCAATCCCACATTTCCCTGCTGCACTGCCCTAGTAGAGGTTCTCCATGAGGGCTCTGCCCCTGCAGCAGACTTCTGCCTGGACGTCGAGGTGTTTCCATACATCCTCTGAAATCTAGGCAGAGGTTCCTAACCACAACTTTTGACTTCTGTGCACCCACAGACTCAACACCACATGTAAGCCACCAAGGCTTGGGGCTTTCACCCTCTGAAACAATGGCCTGAGTTGTATGTTGGCCCCTTTTAGCCACAGCTGGGATGCAGAGCACCAAGTCCTGAGACTGCACAAAGTAACAAGGTCCTGGGCCTGGCCCATGAAACCATTTTTAACCTCCTAGACCTCCAGGTCTGTGATGGAAGGGGTTGCCCACGAAGGTCCCTGACATGCCCTGGAGACATTTTCCCCATTGTCTTGGTGACTAACATTTGGCTTCTTGTTATTTATGCAAATTTCTGCAGTGGGCTTGAATTTCCCTCCAGAAAATGGGTTTTTCATTTCTAGTACTTCATTAGGCTGCAAATTTTCCAAATTTTTATGCTCTGCTTTCTCTTGAATGCTTTGTTGCTTAGAAATTTCTTCTGCCAGATACCCTAAATCATCTCTCTCAAGTTCAAAGTTCTACAGATCCCTAGGGAAAGGGAAAAATGCCACCAGTCTCTTTGCTAAAGCATAACAAGAGTGACCTTTGCTCCAGTTCCCAAGGAGTTCCTCATCTCCATCTGAGATCACCTCAGCCTGGACTTCATTGTCCATATCACTATCAGCATTTTGGTCAAAGCCATTCAACAAGCCTCTAGGAAGATACAAAATTTTCCACATTTTCCTGTCTTCTTCTGAGCCCTCCAAACTGTTCCAACCTCTGCCTGTTACCCAGTTCCAAAGTTGCTTCCACATTTTCAGGTAACTTTACAGCAGCATCCCACGCTCCATGGTACCAGTTTACTGTATTAGTCCATTTTCATGCTGCTATAAAGAACTTCCCAAGACTGGGTAATTTATAAAGGAACGAGGCTTAATTGACTCACAGTTACACAGGGCTGGGGAAGCCTCAGGAAACTTACAGTCATGGTGGAAGGGGAAGCAAATACGTCTTTCTTCACATGGTGGCCGAAAGAGAAGTGACAAGCAAAGGGGGAAAAGCACCTTATAAATCAGATGTTGTGAGAATTCACCCTCTATCACGAGAACAGCATGGGGATAACCAGCCCCAAGATTCAATTGTCTCCCACTGGGTCCCCTCCATGACACGTGGGGATTATTAGAACTACAATTCAAGGTGAGATTTGGTTGGGGACACAGCCAAACCACATCACTAGAATAGTCAAATTCATAAAGAAGAAAATAGTATGGTGGTTTGCAGAAGCTGAGGAGGGAGGGGGAACTAGGAAATTGTTGTTTAATAGGTACAGAATTTCAGTTCTGAAAGATTAAAAAAGTTCTGAAGCTGAATGGTGGTGATAGTTGCAGTGATTGTTCTTAATGCCACTGAACCGTATGCTTAAAAATGGTTAAAATGCTAACTTTTGTGTAATGTACATTTTACCACAATTAAAAGATATATTTTCAGAGAACACCTGCAGGAAGAAGACTCAACAAATGAGGTTTAAAAAAGTTGTTTATTAGAAAATTTTAATCACCCACTGGAACTGCTTCAGCTTATAAAATCTGCTGCAAGGGTATTTCATTGTGTTCTATTTGTAAAATGGGTTTGATTATTTTAAATGATTGTGGCTCTTAGCTCATCATGTAGCAAAATTAATTCTAAAGAGAGGTTTGAGTTTAAATGGTTAATTATTCCACAATAAATTATATTATTTTAATAATAAAGACTCCAGTCATCCTACTTCAGAAGGTGAGTGGCTGCTTTTCTCATTTATGTCCACATTGATGTCATTTTTTAATTAAAAGAATAATTAACTGTGTTGGGGCAAAAATGATCAAAATTGGATGAATATATTAATGTATTTTAATAGCTTGACTGGGAGTTTCATAAATCTCATTCCTAACCAAAGTATGTCACTATAAATAAGTTTCAACTTACTCCTGCTCAGAAGAGAATACTCTGCAAAAATATTTTTAACTACTTAAAGCCGAAACTGGATGTCCATCTCTTGATGTAGAGCAAATGTTTACACTATGGAGAAGCCATATTAGGTAACTTCTAAGGGCTTTTTCAACTCCATGGCTCTGTAATATGCTCAATCTTTGACAATGACTCTCATTAGCACTGAATAGAAAGAGATATGCATCTTAAGAAAATTTTAATATCATTGTGGTTCATACTAATGAACAGTTTTTCTCACATACTTTATACATTCAGAGGCCCCTATTGTAGGCCAAATAACCCCACTAAAGTGAACTGTCCTATTTATTTCCATTATCCCAATTAAACTCATAAAATAAAATCGTATGACAGATGCTGCTTAGTCAGTATTTTGGAAATGTAAGAATCAAATAAATAAGTGATTGGGAACTGTCTTAGGCAATTTCTATAGCAATAAAGAGAAATACATTCAGAATACTGAAACATGATCAGTATAGCAGGTTCTGTCAGTGCCTATCCACATCTTTTTGGTATTCAATGTCTCTGTTTAATGGCGTCTTATTTAAAGCACATGAAACTTTCTGATTGAGAATATCCTCTGGCCTCAAGAGAATGCCCAGCTCATATAAGGGTCAGGCTGGTAGTCCCAAGGAATTAACTTTCCTGGAAACAGTCCTCCACCAGTGATCATTGGATATGGTGGGTAAATAGCTCAGCTTTCTATCTCCTTGGGTGGATGACCCTAAGTCAACATTTACCCTGTCTCCAAAAGAATTCCCAGTATGATTTAGCCCTAGAGCAGTGATATGCTCATTAACACACTTGTATTGGCTTCCCTCCTTTCTTTGTCTCAGTGCTCCACTCCTCTACCAGTGCTTTCTAGGATCATCTCCCAGGTAAACGACTAGTACTCAATCCCTTGTCTTAAGGTCTGCTTCTGGGGGAAACAGAACAAGGGTAACCTGTAAGAGAGAAACAGTCTCATAGGAATCCAATAACTGGCACACTGGAATGAAACTCAGTCTCATGGCAAATGAGTTTGGCGTTGGGATTTCATGAGTATTTGCTATAAGGTTCCACTGCTACATAAAACATGTTGATTTTTTCTTTTCCTCTCTACTCCATACTAATTCCTCACCCTCTATTCTGCAGATCTTTTCTCAAGTTTGGAGTCCCTGCTTATTCATAAATTTGAATTGCTAATAATGTTGACTAACTCATGGCTTAACATTACCCTCCCACTCCTCTCTACTTCAAGAATTTTCAGTTTTAGCTTTCACTATTAATCACAGAAGTCTAATTTCATTTTCCAGTTCAAATGGTGGAGAGTAAAATCTAATATACCCAAACTTTGAGCAGAGTTAATTACAATAGATTAGTAATGCATAGTTAGACATCATCTAATCCAGGGCACATATGAGAGTGAAAGAGGCACTATTAATAAACTAGGATTATTGGTATAAACCAGGACTATTTGGAGTGTGAAAGAAAAATATCTTGGGCCCCCAAAATCACTAAGGAAAACTCAAGCTGCAAACCGCTTAGGGAAAACCTGCCTCCCATTCTATTCAAAGTCACCCCTCTGCTCACTGAGATAGATGGATATCTGACTTGCCTCCTTTGGAAAGGCTAATCAGAAACTCAAGAGAATGTATCACCTATCTGTGACCTGGAAGCCTTCTCCGTGCTTCCAGTCTTCCTGCCTTTGCTTCCAGTTGTCCCGCCTTTCCAGATGAACCAATGTACTTCTTACATATATTGATTGACGTCTCATGTCTCCCTAAAGTGTATAAAACTAAGCTGTGCCCCAACCACTTTGGGTGCAAGTCGTCAGGACTTCCTGAAGCTGTGTCATGGACATGTCCTCGACCTTAGCAAAATAAACTTTCTAAATTAACCGAGACCTGTCCCAAATTTTCAGGGTTCACATTTTGGTAACTATGGAGGAATTCTGAGTGGAGATGCCCCTGACCTTTGACACATCTCCTATCAGTGCTTGGTACCAGCATGAGCTAACTTTATGGCTCAAACCAATAGGACAATTTGCTGAGGTCTGGGAGTACCCCCTCCAGAGAATCCCTCATCTCCCAAAATGTGGTTGAGATCTAAAGTTTATTTCGCTATACAACTCCTCTTTTTTGGAGTTTTACTTGCTTCCAACTC